CCCTGCTGTTGGTGTTTTCCAAGTGGAATCACAGGTGCTCTGAGTTGTTGCAATTTCCAGAAGCACTGGAAGGATAAATCAAAGCTTTGGATTTGCAAATCCATCAAACTGTTCAAAAAGCAGAAAAATAGGAAAGCAGCTGAGCCTGTTGTCTTCATTTTGGGTTCTGTAATGTTAATAAAAAGCAGCTTTTAGTTGTTGTTTTCATAGCTGCACTGCTGGGATCAAAATGGGATTTTCTTGGGGGAACAAGGAATTTTTTTTTTTTCCCTGCCAGGGAATTGTTCATATCTGATAGATCTTCAGAGCATCAGCAGGGCTGAGATGTCTCTGGCTGTGAAATAATCTGAGGTGTTTTCCTTAGGAATGTCACATTCCAAGGGGTGTGGAGAAAAGGGGGTGGTTGGAAGCAGGAAAATCTGTGCCAGGAGGGACCATCAACATCTTCATGGGGAAAAAAAAAAGAAATATCACCAAAGCAGAGAGGATGGCTGGGTTGGGAATTTAAAAAAGAAAAGGAAAATTAGATTTATTCTTCATGTTTTAACTGATTTGTAAATGGCCACATTTTTGTGCAGCATTCATAAATCAACTTTGTAGGGAATGAGGCTGGAAATGAAATTGTGTCTGTAGTTCCTGATGTAAAAGTGATCTTTTTTTTTAGTTTATTCCCCGTTTGAAGTTGCTGCACAAAGGAGGATCATGAACCTGTGGGGATTCCAAAGCTTCCCAAAAAAAGATCAAACTCAGGGAGTGTGGGAAGAAGGGAGGGAAAGGAATTTCCTGCTACCAGGTGGCACTGGAGGGAATTTATCCACAAAGAACTGTGAGGGAAAAAGAGAAAAAAAAAAAAGACAATTTTTCCTGGGAACACCCCAGGCTGGTAGGAAACCTTAAGTACAAACTTCAGTTCTTACAAAAAATTCCATGTAGGAATTCTGATATTTCTGGAATCTTTCCCAAGTGGCTTTAGTGGCATTATTTATTATCACCAATTTTAACAGCAGAGATGGATTTTTAAGATTGCAGCTGAACGTGGATTTTACTATAAAGGCCATGGAAAAACCTCATTTTTTGCAAATCAGTTGCAGCCACCAGTTTATGTTTAATGTGTGTTTTGATCAACTCAGATTCTTTTTTTTTTTCCCATCTGTATAAAAGCCTTTAAAGGAAATTTTCACTATCTAAACGTTTTACAGCCCCATCCCTGCAGAAATTAATGGTATTGAACTCTGCTGTTTTTGTTGTGCAAAATGCAAGGCTTTTGACAAATGTTGAAAAAAAAACTTACTGAGGGTAGTAAAAACGAATTCTGGGAATTTAAATCTAATTTTAAGTGCATGTTGAAGCTCCTTGAGTAATGATTTAATGTGAGCACTCCTCTGCAGCTGGTCAGGGCAAAGGAAACAGAGCAATGCTTAGAAATAACCACTAATAAATTTTGCCCTGGAGTGTTTTAATAGAGAAAATATTTAGAAAAATGGAATATTTTCCTTTCTTCCCAAGCTTAACACTTGAGCAGATGCTTCTGGGGATGTGGTGAACTCAGCAAAACTTGATTACAGAGAATTTCTGCAGCTCTTTGCAGTCAGCCCCTGCTCAAAGCCTGGCAGCTGTTGAAAGGCAGAAGTTTCTAAGAAAGCCCAGTTTTGTTTTCCTGGGAAGCTGCTGGATTGGGTGATGGCTCCCAGTGCTGCTGTTGGCCTTTTAAGGATTGAATGCAGGCTCTGTGTATCCAATGAGGAATTCTTAAGCAGGAAGATTTTTCTTTAATAACACTCAGGGTTTGGTGTTTTGGGACACAAAAGGAGTTGTTTAATCAGCAACGGTGACTTTTCAAACTTTTCACACTTTTTTGTCTTAAGCAAAACCCAGATTTTTCTCCCCCACTTATCTGCTGCAGTACTTGATTTTATTTACCAAACATCTAAAAATGACACTTTTAACTTTTTTTTTTTTCCTTTTCCAGGGTCTGCCTGTTGCTCTGGAAAAGCACATTCTTGGATTTGACACGGGAGGTGAGCACTGCTCCTAATGTGACTTTTAAATGGGAATGTTTGCCTTTGACAGAGTTATTACTGTCAAATCCAGAGCTGATGTGGACAGTAAAAAACCCTGGAGTGGAAAGAATTCCTCCCTCCCAGCTGCTTATTTATGAGCACTCCTGAGCATTTTGGGTTTGGAACAGCAAAGCCTCAATCCAAGCTGTTTGGAATCTGTTTAAATAACAGCTTTTATTGGCAGCCCAAGGAATGCATCCTGCTGTTTGTAAATCCTGCTGCTACCAGCAGAGGACAGCTGTGCTGCTTCCATGGATTTCAGCTGCCTCTTTTTTCCTAAAATCCCATCGAGGCAGCTCAAACTGACATGACCTGATGGATTATTGATAAACCCGATGGATTATTGATAAACCCGATGGATTATTGATAAACCCGATGGATTATTAATAAGGAACAGCCAGGTGACCTGGGACTCCACAGGTCTGGCTTTAAATCACTGCCTGGAATGTTTCACACCAACCTTGGAGTGGGAGGTTGGAATGAGATGATCCTTAAGGTCCTTCCAGCCCAAGCCAGGCTGTGATTCCCTCATTCCCTGATCTTTGACTGCAGGTTGGTGGGGAGGGTTTGGATTCCATCCTATCCCTCCCCAACAGCAGGGAAAATTGTTCTGTGTTTCCAGCCTGGAAACCACCACCAGGAACCACATGCAGAGCATTAAAACTTCCTTAATTAGATCTGAAAACGCTGGATAAAAGGATGGATAATTGCTGTACCCCTCTCTGTGCCCCTCCCCAGATGCTGTTATCAACGAAGCTGCCCAAATTCTGCGCCTGCTGCACATCGAGGAGCTCCGGGAGCTGCAAACCAAAATCAACGAGGCCATCGTGGCTGTCCAGGCCATCATTGCTGACCCCAAAACCGACCACAGACTGGGAAAAGTGGGGAGATGAAGGGACAAAAGCTTTCAGCCCTGTTTGTGCTTAGTGCAAATTAGGAACCACGTACAGCTCCCACTCTGGCATGCAGTTTGAAACGGGATTCATTTGCCTGTTTGGAAAGAAAACAGGAAATGGAATCCTGACTTCTGATGAATTACCAGTTTTTTTCTTGAAATAAATGAAATTGAGGGAAACAGACAAATTGTTCTGGTGAGCTCTGAGTTGGCATATAGGACTTTTTTTGTGTGTTGTTTGTGTGTCTTTTTCACTGTGTTTGGAATGTTACATAAAATCTTCTTTTCCTGAGGTCCTGCCCTAGGAACAGCTTGCTCCTGGCTTGCTTGCTGCCTCCTCGTGCTGAAATATTCCCCTACAACTGAAACAGTGAAAAACTGAATCCAAAGGGAAACTTAAACCAACCTTTTTTATTCAATTATTGAAATAACCTAGAAAAAGTGAAGCATTACAACATAACTGGTATTTCTGAACATGTATTGGTCTACACTGGGTAGGTCTAGGAAGTCACTTGGAAGACCCAACAAGCATGAACAGATCAATTCTAGCATATTCTTCTAATATAAATACTAAAAGACATGCATGGAGGCAGTGGTGAAAACACAGAATCATCTTCTGGAAAATCTTCAGTGCCTTTGCCACATCCCATCCCTGTTCTGCAGGATTTTGGAGCATTCACAGTCTCTGTCTTCAGGGCTCTTTGTTATTTAGACCCAGCAATTTACTGCATCCACAGCTTCCCATAGGCACTTAATTTATTTTGGTTTTGGATAAAAGGACCTCTTGGTCAGATTGTCAAAACTATGAAAAATGAATCCATTCTTCTTCCAATAAAATAAAACAGTGGAGTAAAAAAAAAAAAAAAAAAAGCTACATTTTAAATCTTGCACGAGCAAGAGTTCGAGTCATGGCTTGAGCTTCCCAGGACCTTTTGTTTTTTTGGTGATATCAACATTTTCCACTTGGTAAAAAAATACAGTAGTAAAGTCTTGAGGTATAACTATAAAAAATATTTGAAAATCTTTTGCAGGAAAGCAGGGCACTTCATTGGCCTTGGTGAGGGACTTCTGCCCCCTTGTATGCAGCGACAGTTCTCTGGGTCTGAAACTCCTCTGGGTGCAAAGATCGTTGTTTCCTTCAAAATGGAGTTCCTATTTCCTGGCTGTGGGGAGAAATGGAGATTTTTAGTGTGTCAGGCACCCAGCAGCCATCAGAATTCAGAAAGGGATGGGGTTTGGGTGGGTTTTACCTCCAGGGCAGTAGGGATAAACTGCTGTGATTCCATAGAGGTGGGATCGCTGCTCTGGAAGATACTCATCAGTGAAGGAGCCTGTTTCTTTATTTACAGCTATCACCCCATCCCTGGTGAAAAAAAGGGGAAGAAGTGTTTTATTCACCTATGAAAATTGGGGATTTTCACCTATTTATGTGTGTTTAAGCTGAAAAGCTTGGTCTGAACACCTGCAGGACAAGTGGAAAGAAGTTTGCCCTGTAAAATCCTCCTCCAGCTCAGTCAGTGCATTTCTCTGTGGTGATGCAGCCACAGAAAAGAGCCTTCCAAGGAGAGATTATCTCCCTGAGAGTCTCCTCCAAGCGTGGCAAGCTCTTAAGTGTTTGTTGTAATCTAAGGCTGGTTGGGAGTTGTGAGAGCTTCCAGCTGGAGCGGGAAGAGAGGCGAGTTCCTGAGGCAAAAGGGAACAGCTGAGGACAGGATCTTTCCTTGGACCTAATCTAGATCCAGAGACTTGAGCCAAGTTTTAGTTAAAAAAAAAAAAAAAACAAAACCAAACCCAAACCACTGTTTGTGTCCCTCCCAGGGAGCCGAGCTTGTGTCTAAACAACTCCTCCGTGCAGAGATTTACAAGCAGGTGCTGCTGAAGCCACGCTCAGGAGAGCTCTGGGAAAGCTCCAGGATTTAGGAGCAGGCTGGGATTCCTCTCCCAGCCGTGCAGGGCTTTGTGTTTTGTCGTGCTCACCGTCTCCAGTCCGTGTGGTAGAAGTGGTTGGCGTAGCTGATGATGCTGAAGGGGTAGTTGAGGTTGCTCTGGATGAGGCGCCGGCCGCTGCCGTCCGGGAATGTGCATTCCAGGTGCTTGGTGCCTGTTCAAACACAAAATATTCCCCCCCATCCCACTGAAAATGCCACACCAAATATGTTCTTTGTATTTCACAGACTCGCAAGGATCACAGGACACCCCAAAAACCCCACCCTGGGTATCCCTGGCAGTGCTGTGCAAACACTCCTGGAGTTCTTCCCTCCCTGGGGAGCCTGGGCAGTGCCCAGCACCCTCTGGAGGAAGTACCTTTCCCTGATTTATTACATTTCGAATCAGCTTTTCAGCCTAAAGATGTAGAATCATAAAATTCAAGTCGGAAAAGCTCCCTAAGACCAAGTCCAACCATTTCTCAGCAGTGCCAAGGCCACCACTGCTCCACGTCCCCAGGTGCCACATCCACAGGGCTTTTAAATCCCTCCAGTGACAAGGACTCCACCACTGCCCTGAGCAACAACATTTTCCATGGAGAAATATTTCCTAAAATCCAATCTAAACCTCGGCTGGCACAACACTGGAGCCCACAGGTAGCACTGAGCTGAAAACATCCCCGATTTTCCCTCAAGGCTCAGTGTGACATTCTCTGATCCATCCTTGGGGACATTACCTGCATCTGCCCAGCACAGCAGCTTGGAGAAGGGATCAAAAGTCAGGCCATTGGGCAAACCAATGTCTGTGTGCACCAGAACCCTCCTGTTGGCTCCGTTGACAGTGGAAGTTTCGATTTTGGGAGCTTCACGATTCCAGTCCGTCCAGTAAAGGTTCCTTGGGAAATAATGCACAACAAACAGGACACGCAGTGAGGAGTGGTGGGAGATTTTCCTGCTTCCTGCCAGAAGCAAGGCCTGGTTTTGCCCTTATCAGTGTTCCTGAACCATCTTTATTTGATTAAGAAAAAAAAAACCCTCTCCAAGCAAAGCAGAACGCTATCAAACATGTTTATGACCCAAACTGCAGCTCCTCAACGAGGGCGAGTCTGAGGAGGAGAATATTTTGTATCCCAACAGCACCCTGGAGGCACAGCTTTTCAAAATAACCTACTAAAACAGCACTTTTAGCCAAATCTTGAATTATTAAATAAAAAAAAAAAAAAGGGCTGGGGAGCAGAGCCGATCCCTCCTACAGGATGTGCAAGGGTAAGAGCTGAAATGAGGGATGTGGGGCTCCAGGTGGGCTCTTCAAAATTCTGTTTATTGTATTCAGATGATACAGTAATTTAGGGGTCTGTTAATTGTATTCAGGAGATATACAGTAATTTATGGGTCTGTTTATTGTATTTAGATAATTTATGGGTCGTGGGTAACAGGAGCTAAGCCCACAGTGGTCAGCATCAGCTGTAGGCTGGTTTAAAATCAATTCTGTTGGATCCCAAAATCCTGATTTTTTTGAGCTTTCTGTGCTGTCAGGCACTGCCCCCCTGCAGAACACTGCTTTGGAGCTGAGCCCTTGGACAAGGCTCCAAATTTGGGGGATGGAGTTAAAATCACGGGTGTGCAGTGAAATAGAAGTGTGTGATTGCACATGGGGAAGGGTTTGGGATTTGGGGTTTTTATAATATAGTAAGATATAGTTATAAAGATATAAAATATAGTAAGATGGAGGATTTGGGGTGGTGTCTCTTTCTGGGCTCATCTTCCTTCTTCTCCATGGTTTCAGGCAGCAGTTTCTGGTTGGTCACTCAGTGTCACACTGAGGGTCATGGGAATTCAGTTATTGGGTTAAAAGGATAAATAATTGTCACGGTTGCAGGTTCCTGGGTGGATGGAAATCTTGAAAAATGAAATAATAAAATAATAAAATGAATAATATAGGTGTTAATTCTCTATTGGACTGTTTAGCTTTAAGAGACCTTGCAGCAGCTGCATCTTCCTCCATTTTCCTCACTTCTAGCAGGTGGCTGGAAGTGCTGCTGAACTTCCTGCACTTTTTGATAAAATTTAATAAAGAACCAAGCCCAAACACAAGAAAATTCATTTCCATCATGTTTTTCTTAATCCTAACTCCAAATGAAGACAAAAGAGACTAAGAAAAACCACTAATTAAATGGTGCCAAACACCCACTGCTATTACAATTACCCACATTGCTATTGCAATCTGCTCTATATTTTTCTTTACAAAATATCTTATTACATAACAACTCATCAATACTTTTGCTATTACTTATAGCTTATTATAGCTAGGAACATTACCATATTCATGTTACTGGTTTTTAATTACAAAAAGTTCATATGTTACAGTTTAAGCTAAAGGTTGTTTTTCAGTTTTCTTGCAGTAGAAAATGTTGAGGTTTTTTTTCCTACTTACATCATTGGCTTTCTTGTTTACTTGTAAAAATCTTTTTGCTTAATAAAAACATCATAAAACCCCCTTTCAACTCGTTTTACCCTTTAACTTCTTATCTAATAAAACTAATAATAAATAAATAATCAAGAATAAATAATAACTAATAAATAATGACAAATAATAAATAGTAAATAATAAATACATTATAAAGAAATAATGAATAATAAACTACTAATAAAACTAGTTAGCTAATAAAACTAGCTCAACAACTCTCTTCTTCTATATCAAAACTTACTATCATTTCTACTCTTTCTTCAAATCATCCAAAAATCTTTCTATTATACACACACATCTATAAAACCTTCCTATTAAATTTGCATTTCCCAACACCGCAGGGTTCTTGGCAGGGCCAAGTTGTGCACCTTGCAAAGCCCAAAACCTCTGGAGGATTTCTGCTGCTCACCCTTGCACAGGAAGTTATTTTTCACTTTTCTTGCAGTAGAAAATTTTGAGGGTTTTTTTTTTTCCTACTTGCAACATTTTCTTTCTTGTTTACTTTGCAAAAATTCTTTTGTCTAATAAAAACATATTTTGTTTAATATAAATTTATCCTTTGCCCTGAATCATAAAAACCTATTTCAACTCGTTTTACCCTTTAACTTCTTATCTAATGAAACTAATAATAAATAAAAAATAATAAGTAGTAAATAATAAATAAATAAGAAATAAATTATGAATAATAAACTACTAATAAAACTAGTTATCTAATAAAACTAACTCAACAATTCTTTTCTTCTATATCAAAACTTACTATTAGTTCTACTCTTTCTTCAAATCATTCAAAAACCTATTATACACACACATCCATAAAACCTTATTATTAAATTTGCATTTCCCAACAGCAGGGGGTTCATTCCCTTCCCAACATCTCCGGGCTCTTGGCAGGGTTGTGCACTTTGCAAGGCCCCAAGATCCCCGTGGGTTTTGTGCTCACCCTCTGACGGGGTCCACGGCGATGGCGCGGGGGTTGACGAGGTCGCTCTGGAAGAGCACGCGGCGCTCGGAGCCGTCCAGGCGCGCCCGCTCGATCCTGTCCAGCCCGCTGTCTGTCCAGAACAGCGCCCGCCGCAGGTGGTCCACGGCCAGCCCCTCGGGGCTCATCAGCCCTGCTGGGGGATGGCCACGATCAGGGAGATGCCTCAGGCATGCCCGGACCAAAATTGTTATATTAATATGGCTTGGGTTGCAAAGCACGATGTGACCGGAGGTGTGTGCTCTGTCACCATCTGTTAAAGCAGCTGGGGCAGTGAGCCTGATCTCTGTGGGAGATATCTCCTGTTAATGGGCCATTTATTAAAACCAGCTGGGGCAGTGAGCCTGATCTCTGTGGGAGATATCTCCTGTTAATGGGCCGGGTGTTAAAGCAGCTGGGGCAGTGTTCTTTATCTCCAGAGGGGGATATCTCCTGTTAATGGGCCATTAAAATCCACATGGGGCAGTGTTCTTTA